TTTGTGTGCATTAACCCCCCCACTAGCCCCAAGCAGAAAGGGGGGGCGGGGAATTGCTCGAAGTTGAAGTCCACACATCTTACAGTGGCCAAGGTTGAGAAACACTGATCTAAACTGAAGGTTGGAGAAGGATTTCTAAATCATTTTCAAGGTCTGGCTAGTTTGGGGTGCCTTTAACCACAGTCTCAGGTTGGGAAGTTTAAGAAATGCTGGTGCAAAAGGAAGAGCAAAGTGGGTTGCAATGGGCTATGTAAACAAATCAACAAAATATTCCTGATTTATTAACAGTGGCCTCTTTTTACTGGCCAGATTTCTTACTGGGCCCATTCAGGTGAAAACTGTACCCTGTTTTGACTTTGCTGGAAATATTTCGAGCAGAGGCGAGTAACGGCTTCTCAGAGCTCCTTCTGTGTCGCTTGCAGCTCTCTGGAAGCTTTGATGGTGATGATTTTTTTTCCACACCCGACGTACTCGCAGGCTGAAGCTTGCTACTCAAACAACCCCGCCGAAGTGGTTGGTTCAGCAAAGTGTTGCTGTCACTCGAGACCAACCGGTGAACTTACGGTTTCCTCTTGAGTTTCACCCAGAAGATGAGAGCTCCCTCCAGGCTTGTTTGGTGGTTCTTCAGAGGAGGAGTCGCATGGCAGTCAGAACTGGGCAAGGTCACTGCCCATACTTTTTGGAAATGCAGTTAGAAAGGGCTAATCCGGTTAGGCAAAGTGCAGAATTATCCATAGTTCTGTCTAATAAAATGACACGTTCAGGAATAACGGCAGCCCCTCCATGGATTAGCTTCAGTTTCACTGGGAGGGGGCACCAGATCGAGCAGGCTACATTTGAAGAACATAAGCTGTGCCCTGCTGGATCAGACCCCTGGCCCATCCCAGTGGCCAACCAACTGCACCAGTGAGCCCACTAGTAAGAAAGTTAAGTTTATTGTTGTAACCACAGGTCATAACATATAGTGTGCGACAAAGTACCATAAAACAATAGTAACATTGTAAAATGAAGTAATAAAAAGAGTATTCAATGGGAAATAGGTTACAGCAAAATAAAGCCAAGGCTACAGCTAAGAACTTCAGTATTTCTTTCTAAGTTTAAATGACAGCAAAGCCAAAGGAGCAATCTGGTTGCTGGCCATTGGGAACACATCTGCCAGAATATAGTTGTTTTTCGAGATCTGAGCCCTAGAGTTCATCTACCATCAATAATTTGGCCCTAATCTCTCTGTAAATGGGGCAGCGGAGGACATAATGGATAATGTCCTCCAGTTGAGCAACACCACAAGGACACGGACATTTGTTCGACAGGGAGCTTACAAAATCTCCTTTCGAGATAGGCAGAGGGCCTGGTCTTCAGGCGAAGGGATGCTAAAGCTCTTCTCTTATGTTAACCAAGTACTGGGAGAGCAGGAAGCCCCAAAGTCTCCCAGAAGAGGGCCTTCAGAGGCTGTCCCACTGCCATCAAGGCTAACAGCCATTGATTCTCCATGGCTATTAACATAGTATTAACTCAACTTGCTTGGATGTCCTGTCCAGATGGCATGCATGTGATGCTCTTAGGGAAGGCACTAATCAACACGTCGTGGTGTTGTGACCCAACCCATTTCGTTCCCCAGAGTTGTAGCAATCAGGGCAACAGGTCTTGCCCTTTGGAGGTTGGCAGCTCTGATAGATGTAAGTCAGAGTTATGCAGTGGAAGTGTGGCGGTGGCCCTCAGCCCATCTACAAAAGTTCTCCTGTGTAGCAAGGCCCATCAACAATATCATATCAAATACCATTTACGTGTGTGCTGGTTGGTATTCAGGACAGGGTATTCCTACTTCAGGCATCAGGTTTCTAGTCCTTAGAGACATTTCTTGTGTCCCTTCCCTGCTGGTATTTCAAAGCCTGTTTAAGATGACACCTGAAGTCTGAAGGGATCTCCTTCCTTGCAGTCTCTGCTGTTTTTCTTTCATTTTTGGTCTCTTGGTTTGCCTGCTGCTGAATTCAACAGACTTCATTATAAACCCCAGTGCTTGCAAGGCATCAGGAGCCTTCATGTCATTTTGCCCTGCTTTAAAAATTATTTTAACTTATTTTTAAAATTATAAAACATCATCTTAATTTTAAAAAAAACAAGCTGGAATTTTATAGGCTTAGACAGGAGCATCAATGCAAGATCTGGTTATTTTTGGGGGGGGGGGAATAGTCTAATTTTTTCACAGGTGGTTTTTCTAAAATGTAAAATGCAGTTTTTAAAAAAGTAAGAATTGGGAGACACTTTATAGTGGCGCTGGCTCGGCAAAACCCAGACTTTTGTAACATTTTGGCTTAGAGAGCTGATATTCAATTTGAAAGGTCTGCAAATGCAGAACTGCTAAGGCTTGCTTGGTGCTTCCTGAAGACTCTTTCAAAGATGGTTGCCAAGCTTGCCCTGGAAGGTTGGCTGCTCTTAGAAGCTAAGCAGGGTTGGCCTGGTTAGTACTTGAATGGGAGGCTGCCTGGGAGTTCCAGCGTTGTTAGCTAGACCGGGAAATTAAAAAAAACCAACCCACCCACCGTTAGAAGGCAGTCAGAAGATCCTTGCTTTATCCTGCCGAGAAAACTGCATAGATGTGTTACCAGGACTGGACTTCAGCCTGAGGACACCTTTGCCTTCCATAGCATCTAATTCACATTTACGTTGATTCAGTTTAAATTAAAATTCAATGCAAAGTTTAATGCACTGACCCTGCCCACAACTTCGAATATGTCTCCTGGCATGTTGCTTGAGGTCTCAGCAGGTCCCATGGATATGGTGCACCTCTCTCTGAAAAAGAGATACCCTGGTATATGTACCTGCTTTGGCTCCCAATCTGAATTAAAAAAAGGAGCCTCAAGATGTCCCCCAGCTGCCTGGACAGATGCGCTGTTTCTTTGGAGCTGACATAGAAACGCCTCCCCTAAGGCAGGGGTGGTCAGTTCAGCTGTTCGCTGCTGCATTCCAGAAAGTGGTGGCCTCCCACCTTGGGCTCGTCTCCCCAACACCAGCGTGCAACAGTTGAGCCTCCTCTGCAGACCACCTCCGGCTTTCCGAAAGGTGCCAGATGGCAGGTTTATCTTCAGCCTCCTATCGGATTAGCGTACCTGGGATATTTTTATTTCCAAGTCGGGTGTTTTAGCACAGGCTTGTCAGTAAAGAGCTTCTTACAATAACCTTGACGTTGATTAGGGTGAGGTGCCATCTGTTTTCTTGGGGGAAGCCCGCTGAAAGCCCAGGAGCAGATTTCACCCAGAGATGACAGGTTCGCTAGCATGGAGACAGCCGACTGATGGAGTTGTGTGCCAAAGGCTTAGAGCAAGAATTGGAGGGTGCATCGAAACAGACCATTTTTTAAATTTGATTTTAATCCTTGTCTACTAGTGGTTACTGCGGGATGGATAATCTCATGAAGGAGAAGCTTCTGTGCATCTTGAAGTTTCTCCTAGATATAACCTGTCTGTTGTGGGGAGGAGATTTTTCTCTGGGCTGTTGGGAGGAAGATCTGGAAGGGAGTGTCCTCTGCAGGGATCACAGAGAAGGACCGTCTCTGTCACTGTCCCTTCTCCAGGAGATCAGATCCGCCTTTCCCCTCCTGAGTTTCTGGAAGGCAACTAAAACTTTTCTGGCATGCCTTCTGGGTCTGAGATGCAGTCTTTGAATCCTCCTGCAGGGAAGAGCATTGCCTGGGAGAGGTTCTTAGAAGTGCCTGGGATCTTTTGATATATATTTCCTATGTATATTGTTTTAATCTCATTACTGTCTTGGGTAGGTACCCTGCTCATATCCAAATCGATGGCAGAGTAGACTTGTTTTTCTCTGAACTTCCTGGACAACCGTTCCCACCCTAGGCCAACCAGTGAAATACTAGGCTAATAGTAAGAAATGGAAAATACCTGCTATTCCCCAATGGGGACCCCTTCCCTTCCTCACACCCACACACACCATTGCACTAAAAATATATCCATATTATTAGGCAACATTGAAAACTTAAATCACAGGGATATTGTTAGCGTAGAAGGGGGGGGGGGTTGTTTTTAATTTGCTCAGAATGAACCACTTAGATTGGAAGTGCCTTCTGGGGTTCTGGCAGATCCATGTAGCGATTTGTCCTGTGATTGGGGGTTTTTATGTGCACCAGCATCTAGGGGGAAAAGCCTGAGAAGACAGAATGGGAAAGCCCTATTGGGAAACACTCTAGCATTGACCTGGAGGAGAGGCTGCACTCAGAATGGACTTCCTTGGTTCCAGCATTCCCTGGATTTACTTTCCTTCTAATGGTTTGAAGGAGAGACCTCCCTATCTGACATTATCACTGCCCATTCATCATCTTCATCACCATCATCGATGCCAAGGAAGGAAGGGATTAAAATTTGCAAGGAGATGACCCCTTCCCCATTCGTGAGGAAGTCAGTCAGAGTGTGAAGTTGCTTAAAGCTTTACGGTTGCGTTTGCCCGGGAGCTACCTTATCATTCTGCTCAAACTACTAGGTGGCTTTAGCATGAATTAACTGCTATAATTGTAAGATAGGGGCTTTTCTGGGCAATAATCGTCATCCTTCACACACACACACACACACACACGTGCACGCACACAAATGTTTGGCGGGTGGCAGGACACAGGTTCCTGCTGTTAAGCCTGCCTTAAATCTGATTTAAGGGTGACGTTGCGATTGTTTCCGTGCTGGGAGTTCAGAGCAGTCGCTTGCCTATAAAAACCAGTTTACCCCCAAATCCCAAGTAAAAGCAGATATTTTTTTTTCTCACTGGACTCCCTGAGATTAACTTCAAGCTGCACTATCTAAAAATGGTGCTGAATGTAGAAGATACTGCCTATTTGTTACATAATGCTGTAAGTATCTGGGGAAGGAAAGGGAAAACAGAAATCCAGAAATAAAAATTCTTTATTTGTTACTGTTGGTGGGGTTTCAGATGTGGGGGTAGATATGGTAATCATATGAGAATTCATTTTATGGGAGATTACCTTGCTTTGGGGTGTTGAATCTTGGATGAAAAGGCCTGACTTCCTGAGCTTTGTTATGAAGGAGATTTATACCTGTTTTGATGTTTATTATTGTTGTTAATTAAATTATATGCCACCCAACTAATTCCCAGTGACTCTGGGCAGTTATGATTCTCGGAACAGAACAATTCTAGTACAGTATAAGGTTTCTTTTTAAAGGAAGTCTTCCCATTGACTAAATGTGGGCTCATCAGATTACCCAATGGAATAAAAATATAATAGCACTTTCCATCTTGCCATATATGAAAATGTCTTGCTGGTCAGAAGATGTTTGCAAGATTTTTTTAATTCCAGTTTTCCTAATGAATAAAATAGCTTAATGCTGGACTTTGTAAAGCAAGCAGCAAAGGCTGACGCGAACCCCCATAGAATGTTTCTTAGAAAGTGTCTGTGAATTAAAGAAGCTGCTTCGTACCCAAACATATCTATAATCTCTGAACGACAGCATGGCCAATAATATATTTTTCAATGTATATTTCTTAATTCCGCTCAGATACTCTTAAAAACCTGGCTTTGTTTCTGGGTTTATAAAAAAGAAAAGTAACAGAATGCATCTTTCTAATGTTTTTGTAGATTCTCTAATGCTATAGTATTCAAACAAATCGAGCAAGTTGAACAGCCAGAGTTCATGTGGCTAATCATATATGAATTCTGAAAGGGAACAAAATAATGGACAAACATTTCCATTTTTTTTGAGCCACCTGCGTTTTCTTCAAGGTGGGATATTGATAACATCCATGCGCTGATGAGATTTACTAAACCCACTTTATTTCAGCAATGTTATTGGCTCATATGCCTTCATTCAGACATCTCATAATTTCATCTTGTTGGTGTGACCAGAAATTGATTCTATGGAACACATAGCCCAAAACATCTGGCAAAGATTGGCTTGTGTCTCCCTGATGTTTTCTAGATGATGAGAAAGAAAGTGAGTCAGGCAGCTTTCTCTGACAAAAGCTGGCAATACTGTGAGGTCATACAACTGCAAGGAATGATCGTAAACTCAAGTCCCAATTTGATCATCTCTTTCATGTTTACTCCCCTTTCTATTCTGATGAGAACTCCAGATAGCTATTTATTAAGGATTTCTGCAGCCCTCCCAAGTACAAATTGATAATCTGTCACTAAAGAGCTGAATGATATACTTGTAGAAGTTGTGAACAGAATCCAGCAGGACTACTTAAAATAGCTTTGACGGGTGCTACAATTGTTGAATGTTAAATACTTGGTTGGATTCAAAAGCCTTTTTGTTGATGTTGATGTGTGAATGGCTAATGCCGCTGTCTCCTACAGGAACAAGATGTTGAGACAATCCATGGGTCAGTCCATGTCACCATGTGTGGAACTCGCCGGGGAAACAGACCTGCTATTCTAACCTACCATGACATTGGGTTGAATCGTACGTGTATAATCTTGTGTTGTCTTGGCTATTCTCATAACTAGCATGCACTGAAGAACTTCTCTCTGCCTTAGTTACTCTGCTTTGTGATCTAATGTAGCTTTTCCCAATCGGGTATCCTCCCTGTAGGCTGGGACTGCATCTCCCAGAATTCCCACCCAGCTTCCCAGCTGCCTAAGAATTCTGGGAGATGCGGTCCCAACATACCTGATGGGTAACAATGTGGACAGCTGATATTAATGCAAGTGTAATATTGGCAGCGTTTACATATGATGCTAAACTATGTCTTATTTCAAGTGGCTTCTTGAAAAAGCTACAGTAGCCAGGTTTATACATTGCAAATAACTACAATCCATGGTTTTAAACCCCAGGGGCAAGTTTCACACAATACACTCACCACATTATGGCTTAGTATGATACAGTAGGTGAACCCATCCAATGAATAATTTTTATTAATTTATGTGAGCTGCTGGATGATTCAAGGTGGGCAGAAATTCCATAGCTGACCCAGAGCAATTGTGAATTGGTCATGCTAAATGTGCAAGAGTTAAATTAACTTTTAGACACCCCTCATCAAATCTTCACCTCGGCAAAGTCCACTTTAGCCATGGCTGCATAATAGCTGAGAACTAAAACTTACTTTTAAATATGAATCTGCGTTTTTGTACAGCAAAACAGGTCTGTCAGGATGACCATAGAAAAATGGTTTTGAGCTTTTCTTTCATCCAGAGATAAGCCTTCAGCAAAATGCAGACCCAATTTCTGCCCTGAAGGCTAAATTCTCTGCCTTCTGCACTAGTTTAATCTCCACTTCTGTGTTATTTATTACATTTACATCCTGCCTTACTTCTAGGAGCTCAAGACAACATACATAGAACATTTTCTTCCTACTTTTTTCCTACCACAACGGTCTTATGAGATAGTGTTGGACTGAGAGAGAGTACCTGGCCCAAAGCCCCCCAGCAAACTCCCAGGTCTGAGGGTAGACTTGAACTGCATCTCCTCATTCCTTGTCCTGTACTTGAACCCCGACCCCACCTTGGCTCTCCGTCTTCCCCACTCTCTTAAAAAAGTCTCATAACATGGTCTAAAGCTTCTGGAGCTTTGTGATGATTCAGTTATTCCAGGGAGAGGGGAGGAAGAAGAGAGAGAATAGCACTGAGAGCCAATTGTTAAAGAGAGTGCGGTGGAAGATATATGGAAGGCAGGCAAGGGAATAGATCTGCAAATGATGGAAACAGGCCTGTTATGCTGGAATCAGAATATTTGGGAGACGGATAGCTTGACTTGGAGTAGCCCAAAGGTTCGCGCTATTCAGAAAAGCTCCTTTTTCAAATTTGTGTTGCAAAATATGCAGAGAAATAAGGCAGCCACCTGTGGGGCTAACTCTCCTGAAAAATTGCTTTTCCCAGGTGCCCATCAAGCCAGGCTGACTTCTTCTAGAACAATGTTTCTCAACCTTGACAGCTTTCAGATGGGTGGACATCAACTCCCAGAATTCCCCAGCCAGCAAGGCTGGCTGAGGAATTCTAGGAGTTGAAGTCCACCCAACTGAAAGCTGCCAAGGTTGAGAAACACTGTTCTAGAATATAAACAACTTTATTTTCATAATGTATGGAGATTGTTCACTGTGCAATAAGGTGGCAAAGGCTCGGCTGTGCTCAGGTGTTAGCCGCTCTTGAGAATTTCTTTTTCCAGATCTTGCCTACTTTAATAAAGGGTGTACCTTCTCTGCTTTCCTCCAAAGACAAGACGTGTTTTAATCCGCTCTTCAATTTTGAGGACATGCAGGAAATCACACAGCACTTTGCAGTCTGCCATGTGGATGCCCCCGGACAGCAAGATGGAGCAGCATCTTTTCCACCTGGGTTAGTGGCCCCTATGGACTCTCTGGCTTTGAATTCTGTGGTTTTAGTCTCAGTTCCAAAATGATTCATACAGGAAAGGAAGAAACTTTGCTGGCCAGTTTTATTGTTTCTGAAGCATTTTTTTTATTATTATTATTTGCTAGCTCTCAGTCCTCATCTAAGAAAATAGGTATCATTTATTTGCAACCAGTGGCAACTAAGCTTGTAGTAGATGGTATCTAGATCCCATTCAGGCCTGTTTGATAATGGCATTGCATCATTAATGGTTATGGAAATGTGGCTAGAATTGGAAGGGGCCTTCAAGGCCTCCAAGTCCAACCTTCTGTTTGGGCTGACTAGCCAACCTCTTGAATACATCCAGTAAGTGGGAGCCCACCACTTGCCTGGGCAATCAAATTGGTCTTACTGTTAGGACATTCTGCGTTCATGTAACTCGAACCTATTATTTGAATGCTGCACTCTGGAACAATGGAAAACTGCCCTTGGTGTGACATCCTTTAAGGGATTTGTAGCGTGCCATGCATCCCCTCACCCCAGTTTTCTTTCCTTGAGGCTAAACAAGCCCAGCTCCTTCAAACTCTCTTCATTGGGCCTGGTTTCTAGTGCCCAGTTTGCTCTTGTTGCCCTCTTTTGAACCTGTTCCACTCTCTCTGAATCCTCCTTAAGGTGAGGTGCCCAACACTGGAGACAGGTTTGAGGTGGGATCTGATCAACCCAGAATGAAGTAGAACTACTGTATTACTTCTTATGGTTTGGAAAACAAGTTATGTCCTTCTAACAATTGTTTTACAGGTACATGTATCCTTCCATGGATCAACTATCTGAGATGCTCCCTGGAGTTCTAAAGCAATTTGGGTGAGTAGAGTTGTGTACTAATAGTCACTTCAAGTTTTTCAGTAGAGCTTCAGAGAAACCATTTTCCTATTGCCTCACAGCATCCCAAGAACATCGGAGAAAACTGTCACACTTCTGTCTTAGTGGTCATTAGAAGTGAAGAGGTTTTAGAATCCATTGTATTTTGGAGCACTTCAAGATGCTTTGGATTGTTGAAGGGTTCCACATCTCTCTTGCCCTGGTTAATTGGAAAAAACAACAACTCCACATCTGAACTAGAGATGGTCACATCACAGTAGATGTGTTGAACTTTCTGCTTTTAGAAGCAGATTCTTGAAGCTCCATCTGCTTCCATCCCAGAACTATATTTTATCCTGCTATGATTCCACTGGCAGAGAAATACCTAAATTCGCTCCCTCCATTTTGCGATACGTTTCTGAATTAAAAGGTTGGTTGATTATTAAGCAATATCTTTAATGTACATTTTAGAAAAACTCAACTTTGCTTAACTATTTGCTGGCACTGCTTGTCATTCAGCTTTCTTTTTGCATCTAGTTGAGTTTGAAAAACTCTGTTCTTGTATGAAGAAGTCTAAAACTTGCAAAGCTAATTTTTAAACTAGTCAGTATGACTGAAACAAATATTTGTGCATGGGAACTGAACTGAAGAACTATTTACCCTGACATACCTAGAGCATAAGGTCAACCCTAAATCTTTGCACCATCTTTAAAGGCTTCTGCTGTGACCATTTTTGTTAACTTATTTGTTGAGGGAATGAAAATGGTTGGGATGGAGCTACCTTGTCCAAATGTCCCCCACTTTGGTCTGAATGGACAACTGCCGAGTGCATGTTGAATAGGAACTTGATGTATCCAGAAATATGTTGGAGGCAGTAAGAAACCAACACTTGACTTCACATTCCTTTATAAAAAATAATTTAATGCCTAACTTGCTTTTTTTTTTTAGACTGAAAAGTGTGATAGGAATGGGAACTGGAGCCGGGGCCTACATTTTAACCCGATTTGCTGTAAGTTGGGAATGGGGGTGGGTGGCTTCCCTTCTAGTTGCACATGTTGTTTATCTACTATAAACTGGAGTACAATACACTGTTTTCAGCTTTACAGCTTCCAGCCTGCTCAGTATTAATTGAGTAGCAGAGGCTTAGTAGCAAACAAACAAAAATCAAAATGTAACTTCCTCCTTGTGAAGTAATGGTTGAAATTTGGGTAGCCAAAGTCAGAGTGGAAATGTTTCACAAGACTTCTCATTTATTCCAACCACAATAGAACAACACAATTTGTACAGTTCAGGTGGTAATACTGCTCTGATGTGCAAGAGTTCAGAATTCTTTAAGTCAGTGTTGTCCAAACTTGGCCACTTTAAGATGAGTGGACTTCAACTCCCAG